CATTAAAACAGCATAATTGCATATTAGGATTTTTGTTTGTTTTTCCATATATTTTTCTTTCATATATATATATATATATATATATATATATATATATATATATACAAAAATAAATAATACAAAGGTATAGGAAGAGCTACGATAAGAAAAAATACTCACCGTAAAGTGGTCGATTGAAAATATATATATATAAAAAGAAGAAACAACAAAAAAAAAGGGTCGACCGGTTAACACAACTTGCTCTTCAGAGGTAATCGAGGACAAAAAACAAATAAGTACATGACGACTAAAAATGGAAAGGAAAAAGATTACTGTCAGGGAATCAGCATATAAATTTACAGACAGATTACATTTAGATTCAATAGAGATCCCTTCTAGTTACATAGGGAAGGCTGCTTAGACTTAATATAAATAGTCTCAAGAAATCTCTGGTGGTAATCCGAACGCACTTTGCTACTTATTATGATAAAATGCCTGGCGAAAGAAAAGGCACAAATCGGATTATTTATAAAGTGTTCTACAATTACAGAACCGAAAGTTTCAATATGCGTATGTAAATTTTCATACTCTTCTCTCGACGAAACTTTTTACTCTCCACAGACTATTTACACATTATTACTTTTCAAGGGAACGTTTCCCTTTTGTGGACATATCATTTGTCATCGGACAGGAATTGTTCGCATTTATCAGCGACTTAATATGGGTTTCCATTGCACGTTTACTTAACAGTCAAAGTTCAAATATAAATCAAGTTTAGTCGTAAGTTTCATAAATGTCAAGAAATATTAAGACATATTATCTTTAAAAAGAAACAGCCAGGAAAAATGATCTAAATTTAAAAACTACTACCTAATTACCTATTTTTGCCATATCTGACTTAAAGTTAAATTAAAAACTCGATGTGGCAGAATGTGTCTAAATAATGCCAAGAACAGTAATATGATATCTTTATGACATACGTTATTACGACAGAGTTATCAGAATAAAATGACTTTTAAGCTGATTAACATTCAATAGTGAAAACAGTGAGCAATTAAAATGGAGAAAAAGCCGTTTGCAATACTGGCACGTTGCCATCTTTTTAAGTGAATTCACATTTGCTCAATTTTCAAACAATGGACATGTTTCAGTCGGCAGATTGAGTAGCAAATTTTGGACATGAATTTTGTACATTATCAAACTTGATGGATTTTCAGATATAGTGCGATGGATAATTCAGAACGTTGGTCATTCGAGGCTACATGAATGCATTGGAAAATAACAATTCAGTAAAAATAAATAAGTCTTCGCAATATTTATTAACGGTTATTTTGAGAAAACAACAAATTTTCACGGATATTGGAGGTTTATCTAATATAGCGTAAAAAGAAATAGAATCTCAAAAGTACTAAACGACTCTTGTTCATTTCAGTCTTTTGACAAGAATCGTTCTGAGCATGTTTATACAATTTTGATTTCTGAAATAAAGAAAATGTCAAAGTTTCTATTAAAATTTTTTTAATAGAAACTTTGACATTTTCTTTAAACAAAAATGGAAAATATTTGCTTCAATTGTTTTAATGCAACCTGGTTGAATAACTCACAAGGTAAAATTATAAAAAATTGATTCCCTACTAAATCTGTTTTTGTGCGAAACAAAAACTTAATTAGTAGGAATTGCAACTCATAATAAGCGTAAAATTACAAATAAGACTCAACCAATATGTAAAATATTAAAGGAAAAATATTTATTACAGTGTAACCCGGATATAAGAGACCCGTATATAAGAGAAACCCGGCTATAAGAGAGATTTTCTCTGGTCCCAAATTAGAGCCTGTGTTACCTAAACAAAATAGACCAAACCCGGATATAAGAGAAACCCGGATATAAGAGAAACCCGGATATAAGAGAAACCCGGATATAAGAGACTTCTTCTCCGGTCCCGACAACTCTCTTATATCCGGGTTACACTGTACACAATTATGAAAAAGGTACAAATACAGTTTGCAGAAAAATTTCCATTTTGTGCGCCTATTAAGGCAGGATAACAATTATCTGATAAGAAGGATTACCATTCAAAAATGAAAAACAATACTATTTGGGAAAAGACAAGTATTTTAAAAATGCAAAAAGAGGAAATAATTCAAGAAGGCAGTAAAAACAAAGGAGCAACCACCTTTCAGAAAAAAAAAAAAAAAAAAAAAAAAACGTAACACCTACTTTTACTTGCCTAAATACAGCATATCTGCGACATAGAGTAATTTTTTAAAAATCCATTTTAAATTTACAGTTCATCAGTGGGAAAATTTCTTATAATTCTTTTCGTTTTTTGTTGTCCAACAGCAGAAGAATTTTCACTTGAACTTCAAAATTCTTTAGTCTCTCTGCAGCTGGCTGGTAACTGGTGCCTTCTAGATGCTATCTTCTTGATGTCAAAAGACTTCTCCTTTGATTTGTCATGTCCCATTGCTATCAAAAAGTCTTCTCATCCACTGACCGAGATCACATATTAATTCAAAAATTTAGATTCACAGAAGGCCCCTTCCTTGTTTTCACAGGGGTATGAGACCACGGCTCTCATTGGCCAAAAAATACGATAAAACAATTTTCCATAAACTTGAAATAGATTCTTCACAATTTTGGCGGTTTTCAACCGCTATGCCGAAGATGATATACAAGTGTAACACTTTCTTTTACTCAAACCTCCCGATCTTCATAAAAAATACACTTCACTCAAAAGAACGTGTACTAAAAAAATCAAGACGATTAAACACTTATTCAATAGTAACATTTTAAAGTAGTAGAATAAAAGTTTTATAAAAGAGCAGATTCAATAAAGTCTATAATATTCTTGAATTGATGAAAGATACTCATTTGAAGATAAAAGTGTCTATTTACTTTCGCTGTGTTTATATATGTGTGTGTGTGTGTAAATTTATAAACACATATGAACGTTTAACTTCAAATGCATTAGTAAAACTAAATAAATCTTGCTATCAACCCGAAATGAAATTTGAAGATCAACAAATACCATTAAAAAAAAGGTCATGTACCTTAAATATCCGTCAATGACATCAAGTCTAAGACATCATAAGCAACATCCAGTTCCATAAACAGTGTGGATATAGGAATCAACACTGCATGGTCGGCGCCAATTTAACGCCTCAATGCGGATTGAGGCATGCAACTGACAGTCATTATGGAGTGTAGATTCTTATATACACACTGATTATATCTATAAAACTCTACCTCTGATACTGAAAGCATTTCTCTAAATATCACAAAATTTAAGTTGGGTTTGTTATGTTGCAAGGATGAGTGACGGCAGAATACCTAAGGTCCTCGTGTCTAGTCAGTTTGACGGTGGACAAAGGACTCTTGGACGGCCTGGACCCAGGCATAAAGACAGGCAAAGGAGTTACCTCTCAGCAGTCAATGTGCTCCATACTAACTCCGGGCGAGTTGCCTTGGGTAGAAATAACCGGAGATATTTATTCCAGAGTAGTATCAGAAATTTCTAAATCAGTCGTATTGAGCGGCTAAGAGCCGAAAGGCAATGATGAAAATCCTCAGCAAATGTTCCTGTGGCTATGTCCCAAGATCTTCGCTGTTGCACAATGTTACACATACGACACAAATATAAAAAGTGAGGTTGTCGGATCCTCATACGTCGAAATCGACGTGAGGGTCCATGATATATATATATATATATATATATATATATATATATATATATATATGTAGTACAGGTCATCGATCCGTTGGTATATAATTTTAATTATTAAAACTGATCCACAGAGAGCTCAATGTTTTTATTTTAACAGAGCATATGTATTTTACAGCAAAAAAGCAAAAAAAAAAAAAAACAAAAATACCTCAACATAGAGATACTCTATTTCAAGCCGTTCTGTACACGGCTGTCATCATCCCCTAAGTGTCTGTCTCGGAGCATTGTTTTAAATTTATAGCCTAGGGTTTAGAATCACTGACTGAGTCCAAATCAGTCGGGTTTCGGTCCTGAAATGTAAACAAAACAATTTCTAAAGAATTAATAGAGTTTTTTATTCCGACATATTTATCACTTAAAACGTTATTCTTATTTGTTACCTGTATTTGAGTAGAACGCTGCGTTTATTAAACAGTGTTTATTTCGTCTACTGGCTTATGCATCCGAGAAAACATAAAGAGAATTTCTCATAAAATATGACGAATTAAAAATGTAACAAACTCCAGTAATTCTTTCTTTTTTTATGTGCCATGTCCCTTCAGAACGTAGGCGATCACGGCCCTCCACATTCTCCTGTCCCTCTGAGTACTTAATAAGTTTTGTCTTGTTATTTTTCCCAAACTTTGGTCTACCATACATTTACTCAAGTTCATCAAGTAACGCGCTGCTTTCCTCTGTCCTTCTTTCTCTCAATCTGTCCTGTGGGTATCAGATTTTCCAAGTCTTCCTTCCTCATTATGTGCCCCAGAAACTTCACCTGCCTCTTCCTTATGTGAAGTATAAGTTTCCTTTTTGTTTCCAATTTCTTCAAAACCTTGTCGTTGCTCACATATTCGGTCCATGGTATCCTCATCATCTTTCTGCAGAACCACATTTCTGATGATGCTTCAAGTCTCTTAGAAACTCAAAATAATATTGACAAAAGAAAGAAATAATATCTAACGATGAAAACAAGTATTTCGTATATAACATTTCCTTTGAAGACATGATGCAACTTTTAATTTAAATAAGTCTTTATATTGTGTTTAAAAACAGGATCGCCCCAACGTAAACGAACACAGTATTCGTAATTATCTCAGTAGTTGGTTATTATTAGCCGAAGTTGAATAGCGATTTTGCCTAAAATGAACAATTACTTTGCCACAAATGCCGTTTCAATCAGCCAATGGAAGTATTTTTCTCGAAAAATGCTGGAAACTATTTGCACAGTTATCTTCTTAGAATATCAATCGAACACATCGCTGTCTATGTGTTAAAGTTGGATGAGTTTTCCTGATGACAGCTGAAAGGCATATGCTATCCCTGTTGGTGACCACACATCATCGTGACTCGGTCCCAGCAAGCTGTATTCGTGACCTCAGTCGGTGTATCTTCGGGCAGCCTATTTATCCTCGTTTCCTGCACATTTCACGTAACTTCCCATCAATGTAATGGGTTCGATCCAACAGTAATGTTTGAAGCGTCTGATTAAATTCTTCAACAAAAAGGTCCCAACGGTGATGGGAAATTCGATGAAGATTCGAAAATAGGACCGTTTTATGGATATAAAGTGAAGGCAACGGCAAGCGATATTAGAAATGTGTTAAATTAAAAAAAAGAATAACTTTACTGACCAGGAACTCTGTAAACAACTTTCAGCTAAATATTTAATGAATTTTTTCCTTTCTGTTAACTTACTACACACAGTGGAACTTTGTACATGTTAATGAAATTATAGTTGCAGTTATTTACAAAATAAAATATGCTGCTGAATTTACCACTACTTTATTCAAAAACCTTTTTCTCGTTCTCATTCAGCTTTTAACAACAGAAATTATGAACACTGAAGGATTAGTTTATTCTTTTTTAATTATTAATGGAAACCATTTTTTACCTGTTAGCAAAGAAAATAATATTCCTTTTGTTTATTTTCAGTATATGCACAAAATATTAATGCATATTGATGGTAGAGAAAAAAATATTAAAAATAGTCACTATTTTTAATTATAAAAAGTATTCTCGGTGAAAACAGAATAAGTTGTTATTTCAGTTAAATTCTGATTTCAAGTCATGGAAGAATTTATTACCAGTGATGCTGTTTGCAATAGGCACATTATAATCGAAAGTTTTATTAAAAGATATTTGTCAAAACTGCCGTAGCTAAATATGGTAATCTGTTAACTGTATCATATATTAAATGGTTTTAAGTCCTTCAGCGAGACGCCATTCTAAATTATATATATAATTTAATGCGCGCATGACCATGACATTATAACATAGAGGAAAAAAAATCCTTATGGATAATTTTTTCACGTTCTAATGAACGCACAGCAAATTGTCAACCGCTTGCATTTAAAAGCATAATGAAAAATTACGGTAATGGATAGTAACGCACAGCTTTGTATAAATACTTGTACCCCTGAACAACATATAGTTTTGTACAACTTGCACCCCGGAAGATGATTTTGGAAGAAGATCGAAAGTACATGGGAAATGGGAAATAAAAGTAATTTAAGCAGTTATAGCACATTTTTCTCGTCCTTTAGCATCAATACACGGAAGGTTATACGTGAGTATGAACGGATTTTGTTAAAAGTTAGCAGGCATAATGTTTGTAATTTATTCAATCAGATATGCCTAAAAGAGAATTTGCTGCCTAAATACACAAATTGATATATATATATATATATATATATATATATATATATATATATATATATATATGCGCGCGCGCGCGTGTGTGTATGTGTGTATGTACCTACATACAGGGTACCATACATACAGGGTACCATGTATAAATTTTATTCTAAATTACGCAAAAGCAAAAATTAAAATAACACGGACATCTCATTTTAACAGTTATATTTACCAAAGTTACACAAAAATATCTTGAAATACTGAAGAGTAAATTTATTCAATAAAATCGCCATTGGCTTCAACCACGACCTCCAGACGACTACGGAATCTCTTGCATCTCTTCTGAATGGTATCCTTGTTTAAGTTGGTGAATGCTGCCATAATCTTTACCTTCAGTTCATCTTTGATGTTACAAAATTTTGTTGGTCTCTAGCTCAACAGTACTCCACATATAATAATCAAAGGGGTTGTATAATCTGAGGAGTTAGATGGTCAGATGTATGGGGTGACGTTGTCACAGAAATTGTCTGACAGCTATGACCAGGTTCTCCTGCTTGTGTGGTATGGTGCAGTGTCCTGTTGCCAGATATAGGGTCTCCCAGCAGCTGCCCTTTTGACCCAGGGCAGCACTACCTCCTATATATATATATATATATATATATATATATATATATATATATATATATATATATATATATATATAATTAATACAAGTAAAAGTTTTACTACTTAGCTGAGAGATATTACCTGTAGCATCCCGAGTTTCCTAGACGCGCCCTACGGGAATCACTCCGTCCACTCATCAGGGAGTATAAAAAATTGACTGCTTATACTTGTCGATTTTTTTATATGCACTTTTCATTGGTGCAAATATTTTTTATATTATATGTGTACGTGTGTATGTGTGCGTTCCCGCGCGTGTACTCATGCAACCGTCTGCACGTATGTGCGTATGTGTAGAATGTCATCGTTATTTGTCCTTTTCGTTTTTTTTTTTTTTTTTTTTTTTTTAACTTTACACGCACTCCTGAAATCTTTTTCGCTTATTCTTTCAATTGTAGCCATTTTAACTCCCGGTTTTCTTGACATATGCTGTCTTTGTTAATTCTTGAGCGTTCTAGTGTTTTCTTGAGTTAGGAAAATTGTATTTCATTTTTTACATAACTATATTTTTAATGCTTAAATATATATATATATATGTGTGTGTGTGTGTGTGTGTGTGAAATATAAAGATTTTTTTCTATTTCATTCACATGAGCTAAATTCTGTAAAACAGTATAATAAAAAACAAAGGAAAAAACATTTTTAAAACAAAAATATCAACAAAACATCTATTATCTTTATAAGTCAAAAAGGAATTACAGAAGATGATTTATTAAGTTTTTACGCAATCAGGCATGTATAGTTATCATAACCATCATCATAATCAACATCATTATCTTCAAAAATAATAACAATAGCGAATCCATTGCTGGAGGAAGGCCTATTCCAACTCTGTTGGACTGTATTATTTTGGTCATATCATACAAGCAAATCCTTTTATACACACACATGTTTGTGTATATATATATATATATATATATATATATATATATGTGTGTGTGTGTGTGTGTGGAGAGAGAGAGAGAGAGAGAGAGAGAGAGAGAGAGAGAGAGAGAGAGAAAAGAAAGAAAGAAAGAGTAAGAAATTAGCAAAATGGATAAAAATTCCTACATGGCATGTTTCGTTCCCAGGAGAAACTTCTTCAGGAAGGAAGTTTTCATCGAAAACGATAAAGCTTTAAATTTAAATTGTCCGTTGTCTTTCGAAGTTAAACTTAACCGACATCAATAAGCCTTTTATCGTTACTGTTTTTAATTATCTCAGATTCTGTCAGCAGTAGCTTTATGAGTGAAGAAGACTTGTTATATGATCCTAGATGTAAATTTACATTATATAGTTCCGAAATTAATTCACTTTCAATACATTTTCAGCTTAAAAATTACTTTCTCATTTAATTAAAACTGCGTTCTTTAAGTCAAAATTACGGTCAAACTATTAGTACAACGTATTGAATCGACCGCTGTCGAACAGTTTCGCCGACTCGAGTTTGACTTACAACGTGTATATATATATATATATATATATATATATATAATGTTTGAATTAACAAAAATGTCGTATTAAAATTCAATCCATTAATTCTTTAGAAATACACGCACACACATATATGTGGTGTGTAAATATCTCAGATAAAGTATATTTGTAAAGGACAAAAGGAAAACTTAACTCTGCCTTGACAAAATCTTTCAGAGGACGAAATGCACCGGCTAAGATAAGTTTTTCTTTGTGTCTTTATATATATATATATATATATATATATATATATATATATATATATATATATATATATATATATATATATTTGTATTAAGGCAACAAATAAAAAAGAAAATTAAATTAATCATATATTATACAAAATACAATATGACCAATTGAATTATTCGCAATACCTCCTCCTCATCATTGATATATAATGTTGGTTTTACGTAATAGATCATATTACGTAAAACCCACATTATATATTAATTCAAATGTCCCTTGGGAGAATGTATCTCCCACAGAAAAAAAAAACAAATATATATATTCGATATTCAACAACTACATTATCAAGACATCTCACTCTACACATGTCTGACCATTCGTCCATTGTGAGACATTTACACCAACATTCCTGTCCCCATTCGTTGTATAGAAAAATACTGATTGATAACACAACTATCCTACACCAAGAAAATAATAATTTAAAACTACAGTGCCTTATTTAATTGTAATATGCAGAAAATAATCGTGAATATGAAAGGATTATGATAAAAATAAGCTTGCATAATGTTTGTAATTTATTCAGTCAGACATATATATGTATATCTATGTGCGTGTAGGTGTGTATGTGTACATATTTGCACGCACACACTTACACATACATGTGTACAAAAACACACTTACACTTAATGTGTACACACATACATGCGTACACGCTCACAAATATACATATGTATAAATATATATACAAGAGTGAAATAACCCGACATAAGATCTAAACTTTAATCTGAAATTTTCACTATATAATGTTTGATCCTTTTGCTCTATGGAGAAACGCTGGATTAAGTGCATTTACATTGAAGAAAATCATTTTGAGACATATATATTTATTGCACACAATGAATGTTTTTTTTAACTCATCATTAGGCTACTAGTTTATTGACAAACCTACGTTTACATCAAGAAAATATAGATAAGTAATACATGATTATGGTATATTAAAATCTTAACATGTTTACAGTCAAGTAATGGATGGTCTTTCCCGCTTCTCTCTTGTGGATAATGAACAAGTTGAATAAGTTCTAAAATTAATAGTAAACGTACAAAACCAGTAATGCTAGATTAGTACGTGTCTTTTGGCATTAGTACTTTCTTCTTAATAGCACAGTACCAATACAATTCTGTATGTGCACATTTTCGTATTTATTCTTATGCAATTTTAATATATATATATATATATATATATATATATATATATATATATATAGTTAAATGAACATCAAATATACATATACACAAAAGAACAGACATACACACATACATATATATGTACATATTCAGTTATAATTATATATAATGTACACATGTCTACTTGCATATGTTTGCTGTGAGTCTTAATTGGCATGTTCTTCAACCTTTAACACAAGTCTTGGCTCTGATATATTAAGCGCATCTTGATTAAATTAATGGTTAACCAGTCTACATGGGAGGAGAGTTTGTTACAACTGTAGTTAATATTCACAAATGCTATACGTTCAAAATGTTTTCATATTACATGGAAAATCAATCCATTTGCTTTTGTCCTTTTTGAAAGTCTATAGATGCGCGCAATTTGCAACTTATCCAATCAAAAGTTAATTCTACTTACTGATATCTATTACGAGAATTCCGAAGATAAATTTATATAATCAGTTTCCAACTTAAGCTTACCGCTAATGATTTCCACTATCCAATATTCCACCCGAAAAATCGCCAATATGAATTTAATTCCTAAATTGTATATTTCCTCAGTGAAATCACTTCCATTACCAGAGATTGCAATTATCAACGATACGTTATATTCCAGTCGCGTATTTCTGATTCCCTAATTGTTGTCAAGGGCCCGACTCTACTCTTCCTGATTACATTCTCTCTTACATTCTGTTTTGATTGCAAGCAACTCATATTTAAAACTCACTTCCAGCTGCTCCACGCATTTTTGTTTCGTTTTCGAAATTGCCGGTAAACACCAACCTTCAGCGGTAGCAAGTGCATGTAAGAACGCATACATAATGGGTTAAATTATAACCAAGTAAGCAATTAAGTGTATTTAGAATTTATTATTTGTGGCTTTTCTTTATTTACGATGTACAGTGTTAAATATCATTAGTGTGATTGTTTTCCTTGAAGAAACAAAAAATAGCACATATCTATCTATCTATCTATCTATTTATCTATCTATCTATCTATTCTCTTTTTTTCGTTGCTGTTTTGAATATTACATGCTTTTGAGGACTACTTTGATGAACCTTGTAAGTCTAAATATCTCTAAGATCAGTATCAATAACTTTGAATTAAGATCTTCAATTTCTTCCAGAGTCAGCATTTGAGTGGTCTTCATTACAAAGTCCATATTAATTGGTTGATATAAATAATGCTGAAAAGTTCTCAAACCGACCCACTTACTAAAATGACTATTTCAATGACCAAAGACCAGAGTACTGATTTTTGGAAGTTGGTCAGGCCAATAGCTTTTCAGCACCTCCCCGTATATGTAATAAACACTTTCACTTTCTTATTATTTCACTTAAAAATGATCTCAGCAACAATGAGAGATTTCCTTGATATAAAATATTATGTTCACACATAATTTCAAACTCTCTCTCCCCTCCCTTCACCACTCTCTCTCTCTCTATATATATATATATATATATATATATATATATATATATATATATATTCAGGTCTGAATATTGCGTTCAAAGATAAACCAAACCATGGCCGCTTGGTGTTGACCTCAGTGTTCACTTTTATATTTATATACGCTCTGTCTTTTTTTATTGAGCATTTCTACCCATGAATATGACATACATTAAAACTATATTTTAATATATATATATATATATATATATATATATATATATATATATATATATATATATATATATTTAAAAGAGAGAGAGAGAGAGAGAGAGAGAGAAGAGAGAGAACGAGAGAAAGAGATAAATGTGCGTGCTTATTTACTTACAGATAATAATATTTTTCGATTACTGATAATAATATTTTTCTCCATGTCTTTAATTTCGTTCAATATTAAAAAAGAAATAGGACATCAACATTCATTAGAGATTTTTCGCTTATTTTTATTTTCAAATATAGATATAGAATTATGCATATAGATATAGAATTATGCATATAGATATAGAATTATGCATATAGATATAGAATTATTTTCAAATGTATTTTACATTACGTATGCTTTTAACTGTGGAGTCTTCCTGTATTTAATTAATTATAACTCCACGGCAAATTAATTACTGTTCATCTTTATAAAAATCCATTGAACTTGTAATTCTTTTTCAATGGATCTTATTCAGATTAATTACACACACACACACACACACACACATATATATATATATATATATATAGAGAGAGAGAGAGAGAGAGAGAGAGCTGGTACCACAATATTCAGGCACAGGCAGACACACACACGCACACACACACACACACACACACATATATATATATATATATATATATATAGTGTGTGTGTGTGTGTGTGTGTTTGTGTGTGTGCTAATATTGGCTATCTATCTATCTATCTATCTATCTATCTATCTATATCTATATCTATATATATATATATATATATAGTGGTCATATAAGTGTGTGTGTACGTGTGTGTACCTAGATATTGTGCTACCGGCTCCAAAAAGCGTATGGATATGAGTAAAACTGTCAGTAACGGAAAATCAGTAAAAATCAAGCAAATATACCTTTTTACTTTGTATTATTTTTGCATATTCTATATTTTCCATTGAACACTGAATTACTGTAGTGTTCATGTCCTTGACACATGTTTTAATGTTAAAAATATAATATATATATATATCATAGAAAGTGTTTGTCATACAATTTATTTTTATCAATTTTCATATGAATTAATATAAATAATGACTCACGCAATCACTTCAACGTCCCTTCCACTTTTCAAATATGTTTACAAAAGTCCTCTTCAGGGATCATTATCAGCTATTTCGTTGCGTTCTCCTTAATCTTGTCTACAATAAATGTATTTCCTGTAAACAGCGATTTTAACTTCACAGCGAACGAAATATAACAAGGAACCAAATATAGTGTGTAGGGGGGGGCGTGGCTGATGCGATGTTTTGACAAAAAATCCCAGCACAAAATATGCAAACTGGAAGTTGAGATTTTGAAAATGGCTGCTGGATATTTTCTAGAAAAACCACATTTGAAAAAAAAAAGAATTTGTTATAGAACAAGATATGAAAGAACAAGCTAGAAACAATATTAAAGTCTTGTTTAAATTAAAATAAAATAAAAATATAAATAAAAAAAAAATGATAAAGTTTACATCCTTGTTAATAAAGGGTGTTTCATTAAGACGGATTATATATAAGGATGTTTCATAATGACGGATCAAAGTCAGCAGTAAATAAATCATTGTTGTTGGTAAAAATTTATTTATTTCTCTATTGGATCATGTTATTTAAGTCATGGCAATTATGTGTAAAAAATAATATCGCCCAAATGTCCGCCAAATTTGAAAGAAGAAGAAAAATCATTAGACGCTTAAACTTAATTCACATTTAAAATCGGTCCAAGTTATTGGAACACCCTTTATTTGCGAAATCATCAGAAAGTCACCAATTGACTTTGGGATAAGATTAGAATATCGTATTTTTCTCTCTTCATTTCTCTTCAGATGAGATGCAGCAAAAACAAGTAACTAACCTGATTCCAGGGATTCTTACGCCGTGAAAGTATCTCCTCATTGCACTTAATGGAGTGACACTGCGGAGACTAGTCAATTTTTGGCATTGTTAGCATTAATAATATTAGTCAGTTATGTTGCTTGGGCGATAATTTCAGTTAAGATAATGTCTCTTTCAATTCATGACTGTCTTTGCTGAAGATTTTCCCGCAGTAAGCTGCCGTTTCTAACCAAACAACCCATATTCAAGGAGAGAAATTGGATTCATACCAGCGGTGTTTACGTTTGAGTGTGTCTAACGAACCTGACTGGAATTCGAACTCTGCTCCCCGATTTCTCATTCGGAGCCTTTATCGATTAGACCACACCGCATTCCATATTAAGCAGACTGTGCCACGTCCTCCTCTTGTGGCAGACAGGAAAATAGTGTTTTTATTGTTCGTCTTCTTTTTCTTGCATTTTGTTTGTCACTCTTAATTTACGAGAGTTACTATGTGCTAGATTTGTCTGTGCTTTTTTTTCGTGTTTGTTTCTACACCTAAAATGTCTTTACTGAATTTATGACACGTCTTTTCTTCATCCTATTGTTAGTTTTTTTCATAGTATTGTAGGCTAGACACACTTATATTTAAAGTAAGCAGTACGAGGTCGGAACAAAGTATCTTCTGATGACATTTGAACTCGCTTTCCATGGGAAACTGTCCGAGGTATTCGACCGAGAACATCGAGATAAAAAGCTCCAGTAAGACGGAGAAAATTTAGTCCAACGTAAATAATGAAAAAAAAAACTTTATCTAAGATATCAAATATCTATAGTACTGTTTTTCTTTTTGGTTGAGAAGCCATTTTCGCAAGGAAGAACAGAATTTGAAGCAATTTAATTAAAGATATTTTTGTTTCCAAAATTAAATGTACATGAAATCATCGTATAATAATGATTAATCAGATGTCTTCTGAAATAGAATCATATTGCAAAGAATCCGCTAAGAACTTAGAATCAAATAGAAAAAAAAGAAAGAAAAGAAAGGTCTTTCACTTGATATTGCATTGCATAAAGAAAAACCGCTGGCGCCTATCTGCGAGCCATGCTGTTGTCAATTTAAAGCAAATGTTTCTCATTTCTAGAGGAATGGAATTTCCAGAAGACTTGCGAGCATTTTCACTCATTATTTTCAAATCATTGAGTCTTCATCTTTTTATATTTGTAAAGCCTGTTTTCAGTTTTAAGCTAGTTATTAAATACAAGAGACTCTCGTCTCAAATTGCCCAGCTTTCTCTCTCTTTTTTCTTTTCCCATTCACGAAATTCCTCTTCTTCACTTTCTCCTCCTACTCATCCTTCATATTGCTCGTCAACAACTATCTTTATTATTGTATGTTCGCCCCATAAAAAGCCCTGTTTGTTTTCATGAATACTTGAGGTTTCTAGCCAATAGTTGTTACTGGAACGACTACTGGGCATGCGTCTCGCTCTAATTACACCCGTCTGTTATTCGCAACCTGTTTGACTCTTGTCACTGTCGTCCAGACTAAATGTTAATCCAGGAAGCCGATGACATATGCGCTCTGTCGTACATGAGGCGTGTACCAGCCGCTGTATTCATGGCATCATTAATCAAAACTTTTCGAGTACCACCCAGATATTCTCCGGTTTTATCATTTTCGCAATTTCTTTCAATATGTGTTGATATGCCATGCTTTTGAGTATCCCAGATTTTATAAGTACGCGAAAGCAATGATCGCATTGGGCGTAGAATTATTAATTTAAAAGTTCATTCTTTATCAAGTTTGTTTAAAAAAAATAATTTAGAAACTTAACTGACTCTCATTTTTGTTTTCTTATTTATTTTATTACCTAAATATATAATTTTTGCTTCTTCACCATTCTTTAGGTTAAAATTAACATGTAGGGAGAAAATTAAAACATTATGAACAGGACTGTCGCCAAGTGGAGGCAAGGGGTGCCTTACTCCCTTCCTCCAGAAAATGAACGGAACTAATTTTGGTGTCAGTCAGTTATGTGCCATGCGTGATACACACTTAGGCGATCATGTATCTTTCGATACAAGACTGACGAGGTAGATATTTTTCCGTAGTAGGTTGCCATTTCTTTCTGCGGTAGACCAATTGCCAATTGCTATAGAAGCCGGTCTGTCCGACTATTTACCCATAGCTGGGAGTGGGGAGAAGAAGAGGATTCATACCTTTCCCAAGGGTATTAGCACGTAAGTGAATGTAATGAATTCGACTGGAATCCGAACTCGGCTCTCCGATTCTTCAATCCGAGTCACTTATCCATTACTCCACCGTTTCGTGGGCGCCTTACTTAAAGGCCAATCCCTTAAAAAAGACTCTGGCAACGTTTCTGAATTAGGGATAATTGTGAAAAACTTGTTAATAAAGAAATATATTACTGGAAAAAAAGGACCAAATGTAATTGTCTACAAATTTCTTAGATACAAGTTGCCATTATTAATCGTTGACAATTTATTTCATTTGCTTTTTGTTGCAAATTCCAAAATGAGTATTGATGAGAGAAATAAGACAAGTAAAGAATTTGTAGCCAAACCGGAAAGACAGCTTCCCAAATGATAATTCCTTCTTTCTTATCTACATTGCTTATTAAACGGTTGCAGAATAAGGATTTGGGAATAGAAAGAAAAAATGACAAAAATGAAATAAAAAAAAGGATTAGTTTAAATTAATAAGAAGAAAAGAAAATTCTTGCACTAACTGATGCAAACGCTTGCGCCTCTGAATAATAAAATGACCCCGTATTTCTATTTTTAAACTAACGACGAACCATTTTCTGTTAATTCACTCTGAAATAAAATGAATTTATATTTACTAAAATTCACACTAAATTCTCCCAGAATCAGGCCCTTCCATTGCACTACGGGTGAGTTAACCTTTGCGACCGTGCCAAATATGGGTGACTCGGGTATGCTATTTCCAAGCGCTCATCTCGTTAAACAAGTCAAAAACAGATATTTGCTCTTATTTATTTTTTAAATAGTAAAAAAAAAAATTCCGTGTAAGTACCTTGAATTTTTTAGGTCGTACAGAAGACTACACTTCATCAGACTATATAGACTGGCGCTAAGATCTTTACTAAATAACAAAAAAAAATCACATCATTTAAACACACCTGGTAGCAAATGGTAACACCACCACCACGGGATCGTGGTGGTGTTACAGATATTTTCGCTTTACCGCACAATTGGTACCTTGTTTGACTGAAGAAAGAAACTTAATCTAATCAAAAGGGAAATAATGATACAATCAAGACTTAAACAAAAGATTTAAAAGAAAACTCCCAACAGTACTAGAAAGGGCGATAACGGTTAGTGGATAAAGTATAATTTCTTGAAAAACTCAAAAGGCACGTCATTTTCCACCTGTTCGAATGAAAGCAAGACACATGATCTAGCTATACGTCAGTATTATCAACTGAAAGGATTCTGTCTCCAATTGTACAGTCCTTCAGGGAAGCTCAAACCAACAGCAATGAAGCCATTTATTTTTGCATGACTAGCAACTCTCGCGCCAAATCCATTACAACGAACTCTGCATTGGCCAAAGACTCTGTGGTTCCCCTAGGCGTCGCTATAAGAATCTACAATGAAAATGGGAAATATTAACCTGCACAACCGGGATGTAGCAACAAATCGACACTTTGGCCCCAAAATGTTCAAAATCTTTAACTAGAACGACGTAGAAACCTAGAGAAAAAGCGACAAAGACACAAGGCTCGACAAATCAAGGATCTACTGTAACGATCAAGTGTAATCTGTGTGGACGAATGTTTCATGGAAGGATAACTCTTGTCAGCAATCAAATGTACAGACACAGTAATTGAGAAAAGAATGATTATAGCCCGAGAATGAAACTATGAACAGCCGACGTCAAGACTACATGACTTTAAACATACAAACGTGTATAAAGCGACCAGTTAGCTGCTGTAAGCGGTTAGAAGTTTGAAGCAGTCAGTTATTCTTTAATCGTGGTGGTGGTGGTGGTGTTACAGATATTTTCGCTTTACCGCACAATTGGTACCTTGTTTGCAAGGGTACCTTGTTTGACTGAAGAAAGAAACTTAATCTATTTTATTATTTCTTATTCTTCTCTCTCCAACAAACACTTTGAATATAACGAACTCGTAAGGCCAACGAAAAAATTCTGTGTTGTATTTAGAAATCCTACTACAAGACTAAACCAGAAAATAAATTTACACAAATTAGACTTCTTAAGATTTGTCAACCTATATGTTTGTTATAAAAATAGTTTCTCACTATATAATAATTTCATGTTAGCCTTCTACGACATCAAAATATCAATGTAATCAGCAAGTGCTGAAAGAGCGAAACATTGTTGCAGCTTCGTATTCGCTGAACGATGTGTAACTTAAATTATCTCAAAAGAAAAACTAAGACGCAAAAAAAAAAATGTTGCTACTGGTATTTATGTATGTCTTGCTACTTAATTCTGTCGTTTTCTTCCATCTAAATTTCCCACGAATAATAAACGTCTGCTGAAGTGACATATCGAATCATTTAATATGGCCGGTTGAAGAGGAATTAATTCCTTCAAAATAGAAAAGAAATAAATGGTGGCAAGAGCAAAGAGAGTAATTACTTGGCATTTTGCAAACCTGAACACGACTGTTAATTTCTCTCTAACCTGGCCATATAAGTTACTGGTGATGTATCTTTTGATGTGTTGCGGCAAGAAATTCATTATTATCATCAACTATAATCGACTTCAGCCATCAGGGATATTTTTGTTTGACTCCAATAATACTGCTTACTACTTGGTCCAAAGTAAATGATTTAAGACATTCTCAATCGATTTTAAATCACTTAATAATTAATGAAGATTTAAATGATAAAATTTTTCTTCAATTTTTTTTCTTTTAAAAAGCGGAGAAAATTATAAAGAGAATTATAAAGCGAAGAGAATTATAATTTTATTTTTTAATTTGAAAGTTAATTTTTTAACTTAAGAAATTTTAATTTATATTGTTTACTGTTTATTTATAAAAAAAATGTTATATACTGATACTGTAAAAAAGAATTAGTACATGTCATATTGTAAAAATATTGTAAAATATTTATGTGCATTCAGAATGTGAGTCTCGGCAATAAAACCAAATTTTAGCAGTGTCTATTTATATAGGCTATTTTTCAAAATATTGCTGATGTTTTAATAAACATCACGATTCAAATATATATTTAAATATTGAAATATCTTAGTTTTGAGTTTCCTGTAGATTTTTATTAAGTTATCAACGAATTATTATCAAGACTCGTTTCAGGCTAATTCGAAAGTCTGACAAACGTGAAGATCCAATTACTCGTGTCCCCAAATTACATTTTTCTTTCAAAGCAATAAAAATCGCACAACACAGGAAATTTTTTGAAGAAGTTAAAAATCATGCATGTATCACGCAGGATACATAAAATTAACTTATAGTATAATACGGTATTTTCCTTAGTTTTACTTATTAATCCTTCCGAATTTCATTTGATGACATTTATCTACTCGTTTAACGTCAGCAAAGCAATTTAATGTGTGAATTGATACTAAATAAGACATAGTAGTAGTAATAATAAACGAAATGACTGACGTAATATTTTTCAACAGTTAATAGAAAAGCACGATTTAAGAAAAAAACAGTGTTTGACAATGTTAAACTATTTCAGCTGAATGACTTCAAGTACAAAAGTGGCTTGTCTTGTGATGAAAAAATGTCTGTACTGGAAATCATGCTTAATATGATGGTGATCTTGTTCATCTTGAAATTTTCTGACAGTTGATTAGTTACTAAGAGGAATCAATCAACTAGCTTAGTATAGATCTTATGGAACTCTCCAGTCATTCTGTTTATTTCTTCAGCCCGGGAAGTTAAAAATTTGTTTACATAACCATCCTTATACGTTTTAAGGGTCGACAGGTCGGTAGATCCTGAATATTTTTTTCAGAATGTGTGTACGTTAAGATGTTTATTGAAATTAGAGTCGTTGTAATAAAAATGTTCTGCAAGCTCCGTTGATGTCACATTATTGTCTCACATCATACCTGTGTCCATTGAATATTTTATTTAATTTTTCCATTTCTCCCGCATAAATCAAGTCATGTTTAGTACATTTGGCGACGTATATTAAATTAGATATCTCCATGAGATCGCTAAAAAAGAGCATAGCATGATGAAAAAGACGCCAAACTTGACGAAAACAAAATTTTATCGTCTAAATGTTCATGTTATTATTAAGAGGAAAGATCAAAGTATTTGGGGGTATTTTTTTACATTTTTTAATCGTCCCGAGCACGTCCGAAATTTTCGTTAAAAATCTTGTTTTTTTTTTTGTTTTTTTTTGAGTCAGCAAAATTGACAGATAATCGATCATGGCGTCCATTTTCCCATTTTATAAAAAAGGCGAAAATCTCACTTTGAAATTCTTTTAAAAATCAATTAT